TTTAATGTGCGGAGCCCGGAGTGCCCGTGGCGGGGTCTGCCGCCGCGCTGCTCGACGAGCCCGGGTACCTGGAGGAGGTTGGCTGGGGAGGGAGGGTAAGGCAAGCGCTTATAAATACCACGGAGTTTGTGTAAATCTTTATGCCGTCTGACCGGGCTTAGTTTCAGCGTTTTGATGGAGCCTCTGCCTGCGCTGATGGGTTATTTCTGCACTGTCATCACTCTTGTTCAGTTTCAAGAATCAGATCAAACGACTTCTGATAACAACCTATCACTCTGCCACAGCGTTCTGTGTTTCAGTAATTCCTTCAGTAAAATATTACTTACTCTGCACGGACTGCAAACGGTGGGTGATACTGAATATTCAGGTATTCGTTCTGATTCAGTTTTAGTTGGGAACGAAAAGCCACCAATTAAGATTTTTATTTATGGAATGGTTTGTAGTGATGGACATCAAGTGTTTGTATATAGCGCTGCCTCTGAAAGAGGGTTGGGAGCACAATGGACAAAAATGGATATACAGTACAGCACACTGAGGGAAGAGGAGGGGGCATCTTACAACCCTTGAATGTATAACCAGCAGGTTGGAAATAGTGGTGGGTTTTATTTTTATTTTCAAATAGGCTGGTAGTAAATTTCTTCATTTTCTTACACGTAACCTCCAGAAAGGATGTTTTAAATGCTGAAGAATTTAGGGAACAGAACCTGAATAGTGTTCCAGAGTTAGAGATAAAATACCTTAAAGCGTGGTGGTGTGGGATTGTGTTTTGTTGTCTTTGGTTTGGGTTGGGTTTTTTTGGGGAGGATTAGCTTACGCTGACCTATAAAAATAAATTAAAAAATGTAGGTGACTTGCTGCTAGGTCAGAAACTGTCTTTACTTGGGAGGGAGTAGGAAAGCTTTCTTCTAAGGTTTCTTAAATAAAGATAAGCACACTTAATTATTAATGCACCTGTTTAATGTGTTCCACTGCAAAAAGGTGCTTATTTGCTATCTCTCCATGTCATCAGGGAGAGAAAGAGAAGGCCATTTTTAGAAGAAATGCTTTCATTCTAGGTAAGGCATTTGGTTGCCTTTTTTTGCTGGTTGATGAATCAATTGTCTTTCACAAGCACAATCGGTGAGGTGTTGGTATCTTGCAAGAATTTAAAGAGGCTACTAATGTAAACATTTTCTTTTTTAGTGTGCTTACATTCTTGGGTTGTAGCAGCAAATCACAAATTTATGCTAAGGTTATTTAACAGGATATGGAGAGACATGATAAATTGTTTTCACGTTTCTAGACTTATGTAGTGATAGTTGTTAATAGCGTACATGACAACTGCAAGCTAGTTGCAGTCACAGCCTTGGAGAGATATCCTTTGCTTACAAGGAACATGCCTACACATTATTTGAGCTGCTTAGATAGGACAAAGTGTCATCCTTTTTTGCCAGTGTAGAAGTCTAATGGAAACCACTTTAGCAAGATGCAAACAAATTGCATTGTCCTGTCATTGTGAGTAGTCTTTTTTATAAAGTTGTAGCTGGTATACTTAACTTTAATAGATTATTTTGTAACGTGAGGCAAGCAGCACATAGAGAGAACTACAAATTGTTGAGGAAAACCTGGATTTAGAGAAAAGTCCTGTTATTCGGAGATGGGTTCTCCAGGCTTATGAACCTGAATGTCTTCAACGTGGTGTGAAAAAAGCAAAGCCTTTCCTGGTTAAATGGTCTTTTTAGTACAGTGCTTGTCAGCGTTTCATGTCCTATTGTCTTGACGTTCTGTAGTCACTGATTTTCAGTTCAGCCATTTAGAGTCTGGTTTCTTCAGTCACCTGTCATCTTGGATTTTGCAGAAGTGGCCTACCTCTTAGATTACCCATCATAGTGTATTAATTACAGTACCTAAAATTACTTAAACACGTAGAGTCTTTTTTCTAAGGATTTGATTCAGAATCTTTATATTCTTCATCTCTTGTAAACAGGAAAACATAATCCAAGCAGTTCCTTTTTTTCCCTCTGAATGATAACAGATATCATAGATGTCCTTTCAAGAGGAAAAAATTCCTCCCTAACAGCTCACCAGTTTGTGATCATACTCTCTTGATACAATAGCACATCAGTAGATTGTCTGCATGGTTTCATTTTGAAATATCAGAGGCTGTTAGCTGATGAGCACAGATATTTCGAGGGGAAAATTGGTGGTATTTGTGTCATCATCCTGGACTCTGGTTCTTTGCCACCTACGTGTAAATCAAAATCTAATAGTAAAAAATTTGGGGTTTTCCCTCATGGTTTTACTTTCTGGAGTCCTGTTGTGAGCTGTAACCTGATACTGAGTTGACATCTTTTTCTTAATTATGTACTAAGATTATTTACAGTGACTACTGTGCAGCACAACTCTGTGCTCATTAAACAGTTGTTCTTGCAAGGTGCAGCTAATAGATAAAGATATTGCCCTCTTAAAGCTTGGAGCATTAGAGCTGGTCTTTGACCTATAATTCCCTGGTTTTGATTCCATCGTGTTTTCTTCCTAAAAATCACATGGGTTTTAAACACCTAGTTTTAAAGTGAGAGAGAATGTGTATTTGAGCTCATGTGTAGGCTGATGCCTGTTACACCCATCCCAGACCTACTTGTCCCCACCTCCAGATGAGGAGGTGGGGCAGGGAAAATCCTGAGGGATGAGCCGGCAGATGAGATTATCAAAACCTACAGCCACAGCCCTCTGTTTGAAAGAAATGTGAAAAATCTAGCCTTAAATTTTATCATGTTTCCTGTATGGGGAGTTTGTCTGGGATGGACTTCAGTAACCCACTTCGGGAACTTTTAGATATATTTTCAGCAGATTAATACTGAATTATGCTCATAATACAAAAGAGATTTTATAGTTCATAGGCACATTTCATATTCCTCTGATCATGCTCCATCTGATAAGTATGTAACTCAGCAAAAATGAAGGAGGAGGTACGTCTTTTTATAGCTTCAGTGAGTAAAACCAGTTTGTGGAAAGCTCTAGCGTTGTCCCAACTGACAAAAGGGAGAGGGTCAGATTGCACATCTAGAAGCACGATCAAGCAGAAGAGCCAATAATTAAATTAACTTGTACACCAGTAAATAAATGTCTTTGAATAAAAAAGTTTAGTTCACATTCTTTCTTGATTTGCAATATTGCCGAGTCAGAGTCTTTACAAAATGAAGGCATAAGAAATGCTTATCTCAGATGAAAACACACCTACCAGCAAAACCAAACAATAATAGAGCTGTTTCTGGTTAAGCTCACCAAGTGAGGCATATAAAATTTAACCATGTTGATACATTAAGATCTTCTGAAAGAGGCTAGGTGGATGAGTTTATTAGAAGTTAGAATAAGAAACTGAAATAGTTCATAGGTTGTACTTTACAAATACCAGTTGCATACATAATGATTTTCCTCTAATTTCTACACCAAGATGCTTTTTTCTTATTTAACTACATAAGTCATAAGATTTCCTTAATGCTTGCTGTTAAAAAGAATTGAAAGGCTTCAAGAAAAGTAGCATGTTTGCCTTCCAGTTATCTTCAGGTGCTAATGTTGAACGAGGCTCTGCAGCCTGGTGCTTGGTATCGGATATGTTTCCAGCTGCAACAGAAGAAAGATCGACCTTGGCACACTCAGTGGCAAAACTAGTGTTGAATGGAATGAGGATAGTGATGTTGATTCTCTGAATTTAGTCTATTTCACAATGTGATACGCATCTTTGTATTTAAGACTATTTGAGAATCATTTCAGCAACTGAATGAGTGGTAGTGGTCACACCTACTGTTCACAATAGGATTTGTTTTCTGGAATATTTAGATCTTGCTTTAGAGATGAATACACAAAAATAGACAAGTAGTCTAGCTCGCATTTTCACCTGTGCTTAACTTAATGCTCGTAAGTTTTACTGCCAGGTATTTCCTGATTTCAGCATCTTCCTGTTTTATCTATATACCACTTTTTCTTTTATAAACTGTTTAATCATTCTTTAAACTTTCCCCCGATTGAAAAGATTGTCAGCCTTTCTTAAGGTTTTTGGCAACAGTATTCATGCTTGATTTTTAATGCCTTTCTAAAGTTAAGCGTAATTGTACTGAGGTAGAAACTATGAAGGAAGCAAGCAAGCACTGAATGTTTTAGATCAAAATCTTCCTGGCAGCACATCCTTAACCATCAGCACTGAAAAGTATCTTAATTGTAGTCATTATGCTAAGATATATAATTGAAATAAACTTTACTTGTCCAAGAGATTTCTGACTAGTTGTGTTATTAATGTAGTTTTGATTAGTACTGGCAGTCTGCTGATGCTCAAAGTTTTTAGGTCACATAGTTTGAGAAAAATGTGTTACGAGCATCTAGCTCAAGATCTAAAAAGCAGAGGGGGTAGGGAAGACAGTTATTTCTAAATCCAGATTTAGTGCCAAATATTATTGTATTTCTGTGCATATTGCTACCTTTAGCAGAATTTTCTGCCTGCTCAGTGTGTGTATACAATGTGAGTTTTTTAGATATCCATGTTAGAGTGCACAGCTTTGAGCTAAGAGCTTGGCAGGGTGGATTCTGAGTTTGTCCATTCTGGAAGAGCACTTCAGAAATCTTCAGACTAGTTTTGGCCTCAATGAAGATCATTGACTGGAAATAAATTTCTGACACTTCAACTAGTGTATTAATGCAGTTCTTGGGGAGAGTGTGTGATGGGATTAGGGAGGTATTAGGGAGTATGTAATTGGTCCCACTTTTGTGTCCTACTGGAATCCTGTACCTGATTCTTTCTGGTATCCACAATTCAGTCACTTGAAAAATTGGAGAACCTGAAGGGTAGTCACCAGATGAAATATGATTTGGCAGAAGGTTGTAAAGAACAAAACTTTTTTTTTGGGCAAGGAATCTGAGGAGTGACTTCTCAGTCCAGAAGTACATACATGGAGACTAGAAATGTAAATAGCGAAGCCTGTTCAGTCTAGCAAAGGTATTGTGAGATTCAGCCAGTAGAGTGTGAAACTATAGATGTCTAGGCTAGAAAGTACATACTTTTAACAGTGACAGTAATTAGTTATTGGAATGGCTCGCATTAAATGGCTAGGTTTCACCACTGCTTTCTGAAGGTTAAATAAATTGAGTCCTATGTATGTTTTCAATTAAGATCAGGCTAAATATTTGTTATGATTCCTTTGACCCTGACTCTCTATAAAGATTGAAGTGAAAATGATTGAGACTGGAATACATGATCATTTAAACGTTTTGGACAGTATTTTTCAAATCCTTTGAAAATACATGTGCACCTTGAGTCTCCTGCCTTCACGACTGCTGGATTGTAGATATGCTTTAGGGTTAATTTAGGAAAGAAGGAATGTGGTTTTGAGCTACACTGACCTTTCATTGGTGCACTGAACCAGGTGGTTGAAAATTTAGCAGGACTTTATTAGGCTTCCTCTAAAATTCGTGGTATTTGTAACCCAGACTAAACATTGGTGTGGGAGAGTGGTAGTAAACAACTGCAGCCTTCACTTAGCTCAGTAATGTTGTCTTTTAAATGGTGTTCTTGCAGAAAGGAGGAGGTATGGGAAAGGTCTAGGACTTACAGACAAGGAAGGGAAAACTCCTGGTAGAGAGAAGAATGTAATGCCAAAATAGAACTGGGTAAAAATACAAACACCCATGTAGTTAATTAGCACTTCAGTGTTGGATGTGCAAAGACAACTGGAGCATTTGATCTGAAGATCCTCACAAAGAGTATGGAACACCTGTAGGGTCGAAATTTGGGGACATGTGACCACACTGAATAGAGAGGAAACTTGAGTTTCAGCTACTGTTCTGGTGGGAATAACACCTGTTTGTATAAAATATATCTACAAGGGAGAAAACTGAGACCTTATTAGAATATAGATTTGTCCAGCACTTGGGGTATTCACCAGAAACTTGGGAAATGGCTTCCAGATACCCACACTCGTCAGTGCCGATTCAGACCTGCTCAGAGCCTGTAGTTGTCTGAGGAAGTAGCACAGCTGGGACAACCCAGTCTATTAATATTCAAGACAGCAAGCTTAAAGCTAGTTCAGTTACATCTGTGCAAGCTGTGGCTGCACCTTTAAACTGCCTAGATCACATTTGGAGTGCAATTTACTATTCTTGTCTTACAATAAACCAAAAATGTTTATTTTAGAAAGAGTGTCCAAAATGCTAATTACATGTGAGAATACAGTGTGTTTTCATCTGTATGTGGATAATCCAACCCTGACTGTTCTGAAAGTGTGGAAAGACTTAGGACCCATATTTTGAGAGTTGTAGGTGGAGCAGATAACTGCATTACTGTGTCAGCTTCTATTGGATTTATGTTTACATAAACATCCTTGAAGATCTAGTGTAATCGGCTTTTCGTAGTGATTTCAACGTGAAGTGCTTAGTGTACACTGAAGGATAATCAGGCGGCTCTCTCTGAAGGAGGGGTGAGAAGGCATTTGCTGTAGGAAGATGCCTGGGAAGTCAGTTTTGTGCCTCTTCTGCCTGTGCATTCTCTGCACATTGTTACACGCTGTTCTTTACTGAAGGGTTTACGTTCCGAGTCCTGACTCCCGGGCAGTAATCTGTAGCATGCCTGAGTTGTAAGGTCAGAGTCCAAGACACACATCTTTCTCTTTGGAAGAATGTTAATTAATGCATGTTTTCTATATCTGTAATCTGGGTAAGCAAGTGGACAGTTACTTTGAATTGTTCAGTCTATTCATAGTTTTGCATGGAATTTACATACTAAAGTGAATCTTATTGACAGAATTTGGATTGCTCACTTTTAGAATTTAGCTAGAGTTCTTTAACTGTTGATATTTACTAACGTTAAAAAAAAAAGTTACTATTACACCATAAATTATAAGACTTATGTGTTCCTTTTTCTTCTTTTTTTATTATTTTTTGAAGACACGTTGTTGCCTGAAAGGCTTTATAGAGTAAACTGTGACACTAGTGAGATGGTACTTCATTCATCTGTGGTATGTGCCATACATGTGTTTGGTACAGAATTTTTATTTATCAATGTGGAGATTAAGCATTTTTATAGATTTTAGATGGGAAAACTTGCTGGTGATTAGGAAAGGAATGGGTATAATGGGAAGAAGTGAGATGAGGAATAATAGAATGGAAAACCAGGTTGTGGATGATGAGGAAAATGGTTAAAAATATGAAGAAGGCAAAAGCAAATGTCTTATGTTTCACAGAGTGGATGCTGTCAGTGTGTGTAAAGCATGTTTGATACAAGTGCTAGGAATAAGCTCTGGTGTGCATGCTAGGCTAATGAGTTCAGGTAACGCAGGTTGCTGGTGACCTCTCATTAGGTGGAAGTGGAAAGAGAAGGCCTGACATAGCTTGTTCCTCTGTGTTTGTGTTGGAAGCTTCTATAGTATATAGAAATCTACTCAGGTAAGAGTAATTTCAGATACTGTAGTCCATTAAAAAAAAAAAAAGCCTTTGCGTAAGGAGTGAAGTAACCAGTGTTACTTGGGATTTCATTTAGAGCTATTTGTTTCTGTGACCCACCCGTCTTGTCTCTGTCATGGTGTAGAGCTGGTGGTCAGCAGTGCTCCGGGAGGTGTAGTGTAGTGTAAAAGAATGCAACAATCTTACTGAAGAAGCTTGTTTCTAGAGACTTATTTTTCTTAACCTGGAGGACTTCTGTTTTTTAAGCCTGTGTCTGTCTTAATTCAGTTCAACTGATGACCAAAGACTCTGCTTTTTTAAAAAAAAACACAACTGTTTCCTTTTATCAGTTTTAAATCTTCCTTTCCAACTTCATGGTTTCTGTTCCTGTATTAAATAATACTTTTAAGCTTATAATTCATACAGTTGTCAGTTAGTTTAATTTCTTTGGGTTGTATCTGTAGATTGTTCATTCTTGAAGTGTTTTGGTAATGTAAAAGTATTTAAATGTGAAACATGAAAAATATGCCATTTTATGCACTTCAGCTATCTGCTGTTTTTTGCTGTGAGACCATGAGTTTAGAAATTGTGATTAGACTTCATCAAGCACGGTCTGCTCTGAGTGTAGGTTAACTAATAGCACATTTTAAATGACAGTGTGTCTAAGTGTAAAGCATTTAGCTTGTAATTATAGAAAGGTTTCTTATTTTTTTCTGTAGTTTAAGCTGTGGTCTTTCTGCATTCTGCCAATCCTGGTAAGACAAGCACCGTTATTCAGAAACTAAATTCGTATACCAGAAAATGCATCCATCATCTTTTTTCCAATGAAACATTTTAGGAACTTTAGATCCTGTTAAGTAGAGAGAGTTTTCAGGTATCACAGTTTAGTAATCAAACCTTTTACATATCAGCATTAATGTCCAAATACAAAAGATTGGGTTAGTAGAATTTTTTTCATGTGGAACAAGTATTACTGTCACATGTAGTTTTGGGGGAAAAGATTCAAATTTAGCTAGGATTGTTGCTAGTGATGCTTTTTTAATATCTCCTGTAAACTGCTAGAATATTAAAAGTAAGAATAAATTAAAGTATTTGAGGTACTGGAGCATCTCTCCAGTACATATCTGTAGGATATCAAAGTATGTCAGTACTGCATTGATCACAGATATTCACACATAGACTCTAAATTATGTAGGAAATAGCAACTTTACTCCTTTATCTCTTTGTCAAGAGCATCAGCTATGCAGGCAAATTTCATAGGATCACAGACTGGTTTGGGTTGGGAGGGGCCTTGAAGCCCATCCAGTGCCACCCCCTGCCCCGGGCAGGGCCACCTTCCACCAGCCCAGGTTGCCCAAAGCCCCGTCCAACCTGGCCTTGAACCCTTCTAGGGAGGGGGCAGCCACAGCTTTTCTGGGCAACCTGTGCCAGGGCCTCACCCCCCTCACAGGGGAGAATTTCTGCCTTAGATCTCATCTAAATCTCCCCTCTGCCAGTTTAACCCTGTTACCCCTTGTTCTGTCCCTACACCCCTGATACAGAGTCCCTCCCTAGCTTTCTTGTAGCACCTTTCAGTCCTGGGAGGCTGCTATAGGGTCTCTCCGGAGCCTTCTCTTCTCCAGGCTGAGCAACAACAGTGCTGTACTCTGTTCAGTAAACCAAGCATCAGCTAGTTTGATCTAGCCCTTCTATGTCTGCGTGAGGTATGTAGGAACTGCATCTTCAGTATACTTTTTTTTTTTAGAAGATGCACATACAACCCTTGCTTGGTATGCAGCTGGTCTCAGTACCCTGTAAGTATTTGTACATTGGAGCTAAGACAAAACCAGAAGTTTTTAGAACGAAGTGTTAAGGTTAAAGAGAAGGTAGGTTTGTTTGCCTTTAATTAAAAAAAAAAAAAAAAAAAAAAAAAAAAAAAAAAAAAAAAAAAAGGGCCAGCAAATCCGGAATTAGAACTTCACTGGAATGTAGCTGTTATTCTGATTCTTCAGGTTTCCAAACAAAATGATAGTTTCTTGTTTTTAAGTATTATTTTTAACCTTAGTTTTCATTGTTCTCACTTACTGCTTAGATCTGTCATGCTAACAGTGTTCATAATCTTTTGATAAGGGTTGGTGGGGATTGATCAGGTAAGAGAAGTAGTGCAATACGTGATTGAGTTGAATGATCAGTATGATACAATTACAACTACAGTGTTGAATTCCTTTTAATGACTTTATTTGGCTTTAAGCGATGTGGCTGTGTCTGATACGTGCTGGCTGTTCAGATGCCAAGCTGAATATTAGCTTTCATTTTCTCGGACATTCAAATTACTGTGGGTTTTTTGGCTTGTTTGTGGATTTTTTTGGTGGTGTTTTGGTGGTTTTTGTTGGTTTTGTTTGTTTGGTGTTTTGTTTTGTTTTTTTTTTCCTAATCTAGGATGAAACTGGTGCCTATTTAATAGACAGAGACCCGACCTACTTTGGGCCAGTGCTGAACTATCTCAGACATGGGAAACTGGTTATTAACAAGGACCTAGCTGAGGAAGGTAAGATGTTACTAAATCTCTTGCTTTCTTGTCACTTGCTTATTGTTGTCACTGCTTTTGAATCACCAAAAATAACTTACAAGTAGATGGTAAATCTTAATCAGTGTAGCATTTTGATGTTTCAAGCAAAGCTGGTAGGTATCAGGCAGTTATAGTATATGCTGTTATTGGAGTGTTTTGAGTATGATTCCTGATTTCACAACCTCTGTCCCCAGTTAGAAATAGAACATAAGATATACAAACATGAGGGGGGATGCATTTTATCTTATAATCCTGTATTTGGGTTTAGTCCTCTTCAGGCAGAAGAATACTGGCTGTGAAACAAGCTTTAGAAGATGTAAAGTGAAGTAAGAGTGAAGCTCTGGGATGTTCAGATGTGTGGAATATGTTTTTGAAGAGTAAATTCTGCCCTCAGCATCTCCCTCCATGTGCCCAGTTCATATCAATTTTACCCTAATGGAGGATGACTGTTTTATACATACAGTACTAAAACTGTATCGATAAGGTATTGAAGAAATCAATCAGAGAAATACAGTCTAACAATATTAGCAGGAAATAATATGAACTATAATTTCCACGTGTTTTGTTAAATACGGTGTGTGTGTAGAACAGGTAAGCTTTGAACATGTGAGTGGGAGCAGTCTGTAATATCTATCATTAAGCTTTTGTTTCAGGGTCTAAGATCTCAAATCTTAGGTATTGAGGAAAATCCTAAATGAGGAAACATTTTCTGCACACTGGTAGCTGCAGAGCTTTTCAATAGGACTATTTGAATTCCTCTCTTATATTCCAGCCTGAGGTGAGGCCTGAGCTATGCTCGTCCATCAGTCTGCTATGGAATGACATTTTTTAAAATTTGTTTCTTGCCTCATTCTGTATGTGACATGGCATCAGTTTTCTTTGGGTTTTTTTTAGGACAGTTTTTCAGAATGACCCTAAACTTTGAACTACATGTGCCTGAAGGAAGTCAGAATCGTTAGGTTGGTAAATTACCTTTTCCTAGGGTAAAATAAATCATTTTCTATAGCTGTAGAGAAGGTCATCTTAGGAAATGGTTAGTGGTTTTGGCCTGGAATCTTTGGTTACACTCTCTTTCTAAAAATTGTTCTCATACTAGGTGTACTGGAAGAGGCTGAATTCTACAATATCACATCACTAATAAAACTGGTAAAGGACAAAATAAGAGAAAGAGACAGCAAAATCTCACAGGTGAGGCTGTTTTCTAGTGTGCTTTTGATTATTTGTTCTATGGCAAGTGGTGGGTGGGTTCCTTTTTTTTTTTTTTTTTCTCCTTAATTGCTCATTTCCTCAGTAAGGTACTGAATGGCTGCCTCCGTCACTGGCTGAGCTGAAATCATTAGTATGCAAATATTAATATTCTTAATCACCTGTAACTGCCAGTCTTCTTACAAAGGGCACAGGCATATGGTTCCAGTTTTTGTTCAAAAACTGAAAACATTCTAAAGAGTTGTTTAAAAATGACTGATAATAGTAAATTTGTCATAATATCGTTTCTGGAAATAGTTATTTTAGAACACAGCTTTTGTAGAATATATTTTTCTCATATACATTTAAATACTCTGAATATGATGAGATTGCCTAACTATGGTATAACTGCTGTTTATACAGCATACATACAGATGCAGTTTAGCTCCTGTCATGCTTTTGTAGCCAAGTTTGTTTGTTAGTGCTCTGTAGTTGAGAAGACTCCGCTTCTCATAGCAGCTCATGAATTTTTTTTTTGTGAAAGTGAATATGATAGAGAAATGGTTAAGTAAAGAAAGTATTCCGGTTTGTTCTTTAACTCTGCTACTCTGGCCTTCCCTGATAACAGTCGTCATGGAGATATTACAAACTCATATTACCAAATTTCTCCTGAAGCCAGGTTGTGATATAGCGGAGTTGTTCTAAAGGGTTTCAGCTGAAATGATCCTAGTAATTCATTGCTCTGTATGGGAAACTTTGACAGGGAAATAGACATTTTAAAATATAGTCAGACATTCCTTAAAGTTAGGTAGGCCTCTGCAGAACCTCAACCTTGATTTTGAATGATGTGGTTTGCTGCCACATGGAATGGTAGGCAAGTTTTAAGATTATGTTGTTATAACTGGTAAGAAGCACTTCAGGCCCTGAAGCATTCATGAAGCATTGAGTCTTCTCCAGTTTTAATTTTGAACAGATGAGATTTCTTTTTTAAAGAAAGTAGAGTATTCAAGGTGATGTTGCTTACCATTTCTAAAGAATATGGACAATTTTAGGCAAGTCACAAATGTGGTGAATTCCATGCTGTATTGAGCATCTTGTACTTCTTCTTGAAGGTGCCAGTCAAACATGTGTACAGGGTGCTGCAGTGCCAGGAAGAGGAACTCACTCAAATGGTTTCCACAATGTCCGATGGCTGGAAGTTTGAACAGGTAAAAAAAACCCACATGGGATATAATTAAAAAGTCTTCTAAAAATTCAGTTATGTGAAAGAGGAGTATAAAGTCAATTCTATGCATCTTTTTAGGTTCAGTCGTTTTCGGACATTGAATAAAGGTACACAGTTAGGTTAAAATTTGGTATTTGTATTCTTATTTGTCAGAGAACAAAAAAAACTAGCTTTCCAAGAGGTAAATTGTGCTGACTTGCTATAAAAACATGTACATCATGTTTGAAATGCAATTCTTCGGTGTCCACACATGAGCACTTGAAGGGTGAATAAACCAAAATTGACTAATACAAGTTTATACGATAGTAGGTCAGATATAAAGAGGTTTGGGTAAAAGAGATGACTTTGGGAGTTAAATGTTTGTCAGGCCCAAATAATAGGTCTTCAGAAAAAGGACTGATACACATAAGAGGGTGAACGTAACCAGCATGGATGTGAAGCTGGATAGATGTGAGTTACATGAATCTTTTATTTGCACTGCATAAAAATAACTTTGTGTGCACATTCAAGAATACATTGTAAAATTTCAAGATCTTTCTGTTATCTTTGCTAATTTCTGTAAATAAGAAACCAACTACGTGGCTTCTTCATCCTTCACATTCCTCACCTACCAGAATACTTACACTGCATTGGAGCAACGAACCTGTTAGCTCTGGAGTGAGACAAGTGCTCAGCCACCAGCATCTTTTTCAGTGTCTGGTGCCAACTGTAGGAGAGATTGGAATAAACACAAGCCCCTTAGCCTGTGCAGTCCCACCCTAATAACGCAACAAAGCAACATTTTTAAAAAGTATGACACACAAACATGAAAGAGAATGTTTTATTTATATTGATGAAGTGTGTAAGGTGCTGGTGTCATGGAGACAGCCATGATCAAATAAGCTAAACCAGCACAGAGAAAGCTGCTTACACTTCAGTTCTTCAGCTCAAGTGTTACCAGGTCTGTTCGGCATGCCGGAAGCTGAATGTGGTTTAAGTCCCTGAAAAAAAGCTCTCACTCGATGCACATGACTGTTTTTGATCAGCGCATTGACAAAGTTTCTTTGACATTCTTCTTTAAAGGTCATGAGAAACTGGCCTTCATTACAAATAGAGATTCTTTACTTTTAACAGATTAAATGATATTATGGCTTTTACCTGTCCTAAAGCCTTGTATTCTTTGAGAATATTGTATTTTGGAGTAATACTGCGTTGAGAGTGCAAGTGTTGAAAGAACTATTATAATCTCTTTTACAATTTAGAATCTTTTACGACTGAAAAATTCTGGTGGTTTCTTGAACGTTATGTCCTTGTTTCATCCAGCTTTCACCCTACTTCCTCCCTCCCCCGTGTTGCTCTCTTGGACACAGTTTGAATAGATAAACACAGCACCTGTACGGTCTCATACTACTCAGCTTCTCATTACCCTCAGACTGGGCCATTCTCTCCCTTGGTTGTATTGCAGACCTGCTTTTAGCAGACATCATTCACTTGAAACATGACTAGAATAATCTATATAATCTAACCAGTTTTATTTGAGATTTGAGAACACTGTAGCATTTCTGTAACTTTTTATCTTTTCTAAACCTGTGTTGCTCAGCAGCATGCTTCATTCAGAAGCAGTCTTTGGGGTGCCACCTACCACGCTTTGTACATATTATCATTGGTGGGATAGAAGTCAGCTTTTTCAGAGGAGTAATATTCCTGTGGGATGAGAGTCCTTGTGCTCTGTGCCCCAGGTAACATATTTAAGTGGTTGGTTTGATCAAAAATATTTATTTCCCCATAACGTTCCAAAATTTTCTGGTAAAATACAATTGGATGTGGTGATTAAATAGGATTGGAAGGTGTAAAACTGATGCACTTTTCCAAATACAAGTGAAAGCGCTGCTAGAATACTGCAGTTATGTATCAGTCTCAGTCCAAACCCAACTGCTAATAGTTGTGCTGCCCCACTTCTGTGATTTCAGTGAGTTTATTTTGTAGATGATTTTTAGCTTCAATTGTTATGTCTTCAGGAAATCTGAAAAAACAGTGTTTTTGCAATACTGCATAAAGAGAAACTTGGAGCTATACAAAATTACTGTATGAAAAGGCTTTAGGCAGCAGTGCCGTGTCAGTCATGTAAATTTTAATGATTAATATCACCTGAGTCTGTCACCATAATGCTGTCTGAAATACGTTTGTTCACTGTATGAAGAGGACGGTATTTGGCTGCTACCTTCAAAATTATTCACCTAACAATAGCAGGATAAAAATAAATTTACTGTTCATGAGCCTTCTCATTATTAGCAATCTCCAGTTTACTCAGAATAGGCAGTTGTTGTCTAGTTCCTCACACCTAAAGCTCTAATCTTTCTCAAGTGTGCTGACAGGCTATGCTTTAATTTAAATGGGCTAGTAAATGCCATGTATTATTAAGACAAAATATTTTTTGTAATAAGTTGAGAAATTTAGCTGAGGTTGTTCTGAACTTCTGAATATTAGACATTTGATAAGTGTGAACAGAGTTCTTGGTACTGATGTTTATGGGAACAAGACAGACAATTTTTTCCACTTCTGTTTTTTTGCTTGGATCTTCTGTAAATTGCCCCTTCTAAAACCAATTTAGAGCACTCAAATTTTTTTCCTCTAGTTGACTTCATATGATTCCTTAGCTGTATTTTGTTTATCAGTATCTGGAATGAGATGAATCTCTTTCATACCCAAGCTTGATATATTGCTTTACATAACACCTTCCAGTCTTACATCCATGTTACCTTCTGCACTTTGCAAGTATGACAGGAAAACAATGCTCACTTTCATAATACACCAAACTTTATGTAGAGTAGTTGACTACATCACAGTGATATGGGAAGTTTCCTGACTTACTATCAGTAACTCTTAGCTTCCCTTGAAATTACAAAGGGCTTTGCAACTACCTTCATAAATTTTAAGTATGTTGAAATCAAACTTGTAGCTTGATAGCAACCTGTTCTAGTGGCAAGTAAATGTTACCTGAACGTTTGAGCTCATCTGTTATTTGTACGATTTGGATAACGGTATGTGCTTCAGCTTTACAAAGGTTTCTTTTTGTGTTTTGCTTTGATTGGTTATTTCAGCTTGTCAGTATAGGTTCCCAGTACAGCTGTGGCCGGGCCCAGCAGTCAGAGTATCTGCTGATAGTGTCACGAGAAGTGAAAGGGGAAGAGAGATGCTTCCAGAAATGCTGCAGTGAGGTGTGTCACACCATTCTTTTTGCCCTCACACTGATATGCTTGGCCTCCTTGCATTTCTGCTGCTTTCAAATCATTCCACTTTATTCCTGGATGTACAGCACATAGTAATTTGTGTGTATTTGTGACTGGCTTTTATTTATATTCACAGTATTTCATTATACATTATGAATGTTCATATTGTAAAAATAATAATAAACAAACAACCCCCCCAGTTATTTAGTTAAAGGTTTTTCTTAAGAAGAGTTCTTCTCAATAGGTAATTTCCTTTCCTTAAATCTTCCTCCAAAGTTAACAGCCTTTGATCCATGCTTGTTAAATAAAAATGGTACAATTTAAACATTAGGAGCTCTGAAAATAAAGCTTTGAGTTCACTGGATTTAGAAAGGGATATTTCTGTGTTAATCATTGTTCTAGTTTGAGTGTATCTCATTGACCTAATAGCCAGTGAAGTTTTGAGTTTGAACTCTTTATTTCTGATAACTCAGAACTCTTAACTGTTTTTTAGGTATATGAAGTATTTTCAAGCTGGGACAACAAATAACAAAATTTTTCAGAAATAAAATATGGGGGAGTGAGAGGAGAACAAAACCAACAGTTTTAAATCTTGTCTCAAGTGGAAAGAACATCCTGTGTTTTTTTGACTTTTTTTCCTCTTTGTTTTGGTTTTTGTGCCACTTGGGAAATTTTCTTGAAACCCAAACGAAGAACCATAGCTTCACTCATTGGCTTTTTAGGCTGTCTCATCCTTCCTGGTCCCCTCTGCTTTTTAATTGGTGTGTTACTTCCCAGCACTCAAGACTTTGGGAAGGATTTTTTGCTGCCAGTAACATTGGAGGCAGTTTCCAGCTCTTTACATAGCTGTGCTCCATTTTGAAGTGTCTTATGGAAATTGATTTGGGAACCTGGTGTTCTGCAGTATTTTTCATCAATAAAATACTGAGAGTACTTGTTCTTTTTCTTGCTGTATAAATGGTTGTTCAGTCTGAAAGATCAGTATAACATCCTGAAGATAACATGGCAGTAAAGCGACTGGATAGCACAACCTTGCGTATGAGTTTACATGGACTCTTAGCCGTGCAGTTCTGGATTCTGTACCTGCACTGTTGCCTAGCTGAGTTCCAGTATCTGCTTTCAATGTACCGAGCACTGTCTGTTTCTTGCAGCTGTATAGGTAACATTTGGAATGTGGAATTAATGCACTGGGTTTGCAGACTTTCTGGAATGAAGTAGATGTGTCCTGTTGTTGAGAACGCGTAGGGTACAGGCAGCATGATGTTATTCACGTACTCATGTCCTAGGTAGCTCAAAGTAAAATTCAACATAGTGAGATGGGGGAAGACAATGAAGAAATTAAGGCAAGTATTAAAAAAAAATCTGGAAGTGAATGAATTTTCCTTCCTCCTAGATTTGAAGTCTGGCAATTGCATTGAGATACCTGAAATAAATGTGCTTGCCATCCTAGGGTCAGTCATCAGCATTGAGTTTAATGACTGATGTGTGTGTATCTTTATAACATTTTGCAGATCCTTTGAGAAGGCAGTAGAATGAATGCATTGTAACTCTAAAAGGTGTAGAGGCCATTCTTATGTTCATATAACTTGATTCTGTAAAAAAAAATGAAGGGAGGACTTCTATCAAATGTTAGTATAATAAAAATTAAAAGACAAGCCTTCTAGGGTACAAGGAGTTCACCACATCTGAAATAGAAGCAGTAATATTCAAAGTAGAGGAATATTTAAAATAGAATTTGAAAATAACTATTATGAAATTTACTCAGTTTTGAGAACCAGACCACCACTGAAAGAAAAATTGGCAGTCATGAATTAGGAGAGTTATTTAATGTGCGTAATTCCAATGGGAAACAGGGAAAGATAGGGCTGTTTGTGCAAGTTGGAGTGGTTGTCTGTGATGATAGTACTATTGCTAATTTGTCCCATAAATGTGCTGTATAGATTCTGAATCAATACTGTTAAACCAGCACAACAAATCTGTATAGGCAAGTTGTTGAAATGTGGCTGGTTTTGAGGACTCTAAATTCAGTTAGACATGAGATTTGTTCACTTAAGTAATAAGGTTCCTAAAAGTGATGCCCCAACCATTTTGCCTACTCATAGGGATATTTTTATGTGTACAGTCATTGATTTAAGACAAGAAGAGATTGATATATTTTGCTGGCATTGAGTAACTTGATGCAGGAATCAGTTGACCTATTCTCTCAGCTATACATACCACTTGTATCATAGGTTTTTCTTAAATAGTCTGTTGAAAGTCACGGATATTTTCTCACAGAGCTGCAGACTTAGGAAAAGTTCTTCAGAAAGTTACTTCATTATTGTCCCTGAAATAATTCTTAAATCTTTCCTTTTTGAAAGCAAGCCTGACCATAGCTAGGCATCAGGTAGTTTCTGTCTACCTTTACTCATGCCAAACCATTTTGGTGTTGTTTTTTTTTTTTAAACTTTGCCCTTACAGATTGTCATTTTTTATCTTACAAGTTCAGGCTTTGAGACAGAAACTTCCCTGTTAGTATTTCTTTGTCTTTACAGGAAAATCCTGACCTGTATTGGCACATCAAGCAATATAATGCAAACAACTGTATTATTATTATTATTATTATTATTATTATTATTATTATTATTATTATTATTATTATTATTGATTTTCATTCCTGCCTTTTTTAGTTACAGCTGACAGCCTACTAGTGTCAGCAGCCTTATTCCATGCAAACAGTGTATGGATGATGATCTAAAGAATTTTCTGTGATAAGTACCACTGACATTTTCTTATGCATGGTTATGACACTGTTGGGGCTCACGGGGATGCTCAAGCAGGATCACACTGCTTTAGTAATGAAACAAGTCATGGAAGGAAAGAACCAATGAGGAAAAATACATACATGTATATATAAGCATACAAATCAGTGAAATTCTGAGTTTCAGAATATTCTTTTTTTTTCTTTCCTTAAGTTCTTGGTCATTAAAACTCTCTCTGCTGTTTAAGCCCCATGAGCTAAAAAGTGTTTGTCCTTTCAGAAAATCTGAGAAACAGCAGGCTGGATAGTCTGCAATCCTTTCCCTGTGCATCCTAACGTGTGTTTTGCAGACCTCAAATTACTCTGATTCGTTGTGAGTCCTTTTTTTGGGGGGGGGTGGAAGGGTGGGAGGGACAATCAAGATGAATGGGACAGGAGGACACATGACAGGATGAGACAGGACACATCACACACTACACCACAGACAGATGGACATGGGGTGGGGGAGTTTAACAAGTCCTTCCAGTGTATCAGCATCCTCTTTAAAGTGTTTCCACCCGAACTGGGAACAGTGGGGTGACTTTGAATACAAGGGCAAAAATACTGCTTTATTTCTATGCAAATATCATATTCTTAGTCACACCCATGTGGAACTGCTTACAAGAGTATCATGTGCTGGAGTTCTGAAGAACTTTTTATTAACGCTGCAGAAGTGACTTTATCTTGAAATACATCAGCTGATTAATAATGGCAAAAAGTCATCCAGGTGTTTTGCAGTCAGCTAAATCAATAGCCCTATCCAACTAGCTAATAAGTAGTCAGTCTGCCACGTCTCCTAAAAAGACCAAAAGGTCAATTTATTTGTGTTATGACGCATTAGTGGGGGGTGTAAGTAGCTATCAGCTGAGGACCTGTCAACCTTGTTGAATCAGGATTGATGATTTGGCTGATGTTTGGATCTTGTATCATATCTGCTTTCAGAGAGGTCATTTAATTCTTTTGAGTGTCAATGAGTAAAGAAGAATTTTTCATTCTGGTAGTTTTTATCATAGCTTATCTGATAGCAAGTTCTTGCCATTTTGCAAGAAGAAAAATTGCCTGATAAATCATACACTTGATTTTATTCTTCAAATTTCTCTTCAGAGAAGGTGAATTATGCATGGCTTTATTTAAACATGTATCCAACTTTTTGAATGTTTTCTAGTCTTTAAGTGGGTTAAAAATACTGTTTAAAATAGTCCTTTATTTTACCTCAATAAATGAAGCAGTTACTTTATTTGTATTGTATGGTTTATAATTGCTATATAATATATAGGATAAACTTTATACCACTTCAGCATGCTTAGAGCCAACTTAACTGTTTTTGTCCTGAAAATCTGTGCATGATAATTTTTGCTGATAGTGTCACTGAAAGCAGGGATAAAATAACTTATTGACACCAATGTGATGCAGATAAGCAGACACTTCTTTATTGACGGCCGGACGTGTAGGGGAGCGCTCTCACCAACAACACGTGCCAGGCACCAGAATCATACACCTTATATAGAACTTACTCATACATTTTCATTAAGTCTTCATACATAAATATACAGTTTCTAAGAAATCATTAACATATTCTCCTCCTATTTTTGATTCTGCGCAGTGAAGGTTAGAAATGTCTAGAAATGGCTCTGGGGTGTAATGTGAGTCGGTGGTCGCCATCTCCCCCTGCCGGAATTACCTTTTGCTTAAGGATACAGTTTTCTTGGCAGGTACCTGCAAGCTGTTACAGTCACTTCCCTCAGTTCCCGTTAATCCTGGACCTTGACAACTACTTGCATTCTTCTAGTCCTATGTATGTATTATAAATCAGTTTACAAATCATCTTGAGTTTTGTTACCTAGGTTCTAACCGTTCGTACTAGACAATTATGACCAGTCCCTTTGACCTTGGTACAGGGCTGTACAGGGGATTTTAGAGCAGCAGTTAGTTGCTAGATTCAAAGTATAATAAATGTAAATAAATTATTTTTACTAAAATATCTCTTAATTCTATACTTATATTAAAATACAATTTAATTTCAGTTGATAATAAAATCAGTAACAACAGGAAGAGAATCAACAAATCTTCTCTATATCTGAAGTTCAGGTTGATTTTCCAGCTTTTCAGTGGACTTTCTTAGTCCATTTTGTGCAGCTGAGCAAGTCCTTTATGGGTTTTGTGATGACACAAATATGTTGTGATGCAGACTGCAGAGTATCCATTGTGAAAGATTAGCTGACTTAATGTCTCAAGATAAACGGTGCTCTGTATTCCAGTGAGGATTGAATTGGTGCTTCTGAAACACCTGGAGATTTGTAACTTCGTTACATGGTTTTGGTGGAAGAAATGTCTTTATCACATTCATTTTTGATCAGCCTGTGCTCGTGACTGACTATGTATGAGTATTGCAGAACTAGTGTGATGTTAGGAGTGGAGGAGGGAGGGAAAGTTTTCTGGTGATCACACACAGACAGTGTAGTTAAAGTAGGTCGCTTGAGAGTATTGAATTTTGATTGCTGGTACTGTTCATTGTCTTGCATGCTGTAATACCCTCAGGGTCCAAAAACTTTGACGTGGCCAAGGACGGCCTCCGCTTGGTTCGTTGTGCAGACACGTTGCCTGCTGCTCTTTCTAGACGGTGGCTCGCTCTGTCTCTGGAGGTGCATGCTTGGCTGTCCTGCCACCATGCTGGAACGTCTGAGCATCTCTCTCCTTAAAAGTGCAATGAGGCTTTATTTTCTCCTGACAGTGCTGTATGGAAGCTGCTTTTAACCTTGGTCTACCTTCCACTTCTGTTGAGGGAATGATCTTATCCCTCAAGTACAGTTTCTGGATCAGGATTTTGTCTTTGCATCTTCCCTGCTTTAACAAGGCTTTTGCTCTTTTTGGTGCTCTGCTAGACTAATGGTAGTACAGAGTTCATTGTTAGACAGATGTTTCAAGTGCTCTTGCCCTAAAAAACAAGTCAAACCTTTTCCGTGGGGCTGTTACCAGGGCACTTTAATGATAGAATAGAGATTGGGTAATAGGACAGCCTTATCACATGTGTGTGGTGATTTGGTAGGTAGATTTAATATAGTTTTGATAATGACATTTAGATACAGTGTGTCTGTGCAGCGGGTTGATTAGGGCTTTGATCTGTGTCTGTAGTAATTGCACCGTACATAATCTTATCATGCTTTTGAAATGAACCTTTAAAATAAATGAACCAGCTACATCAGAATTGATTCTGGCTTGGGAAGGCAGGCTATGTAAAGCTTCTAGCATTAGGTAAGTGTACTGTGTGTAAGGTAAGAGAAGTTACATGAAATTTCTGCCATTTGATAAACATACTGTGTACAAGGTAGTACTGATGTTGAGTATATCCTTTCTCAGTAAATTGTCATTTATCATTCAATATTGAGACTTGTAGAAGCTTGTAAATACACCACATTTCATTATATATGGCTTCCACTTGTAGTGCTTCTTAATTAACCCCCTTGTAGCAGTGTTAATCTTGGTGTCCCACCATGCTGTGTCTTGCTGTTTTCCAATCAAATGCAAATTTTGTCTTTGTCTGCTCAAAATATGTTTTAATTAAAGTACTGTTATTCTGTAAGTGAAGTGGTGGGTATCCCTTAAAGTCTAAAGTGCTTCCTGCATGCAGCCATTTATATGTTAAATCATGCCACATTAAGATACCACATACAAACTTTTTAAAAATTAACTTTGGAGGATGGGAAGGTTCCCAGTAAATAACAGAAACAGAGAACAGGATAATTCTCCACTCACCTGTCTCTGTAGCCTTTTCTTTCACAGTATAATGATAATTGTAAATCATTAATTCTGTAAATGTTTAAAAAGAAAAGCTGTGTTTATCTTACCATCAGAGTGTCTGTGTATTTGTCACCATCAGAACGTATTTGCATTGAAGTGGAGAATCATGCTTCAGGCACAACCAACGGTTGGAAGAGCAGTGTTTGTACTAATGATGAGAACTTATGGAATTTGTTTTATCTGAAAATGCAATTGACTTTTTTTTTTTTTTCATCTTTCAGCTGGTCAGTATTGGTTCTTCCTATAACTATGGCAATGAAGATCAGGCTGAATTTCTGTGTGTTGTCTCAAAGGAATTGCATAACACTCCCTATGGCACAACCAGTGAACCCAGTGAAAAAGCAAAGGTAAGTTACTAGATACAGGACTACAGAAATTATGTAAAATTGGATGGGCTTCACTAAGTCATTCTAAGCCTGCCTCTGTTCCAGACCACTATTTAATTGCTTTTTTCCCCCCCTCACTCATGACTAATAATGGTTTCCTGTCCGTTGTATGAGAGTCTGTAAAGGGCACAGTCAGCATGCGTTTCTTGTACCAAATGGGTTCCTTAAATGCAGTAGTCTGTAGTGTGCCTGATACCTGTCCTGTTTTTTTGAGTATTGGCAGATATTTGCTGTTTACAGTTGAGAGTCTCGAGGTTTATTTCTTACACACTTGAATGCTTCCTTATTCTGCCATTGCTTCAGTTGAGAACTGTTTTTCTTGCTTGAGTTCAACTGAAGAAATCTTACTGTCAAAAATGGAAGTTGTAGTATGCCATCTCTCAAAAACATAGGCATGTGCACTATACTATAAACTGAAGGTATTTGTTAGCTTAATATTTTCAGGTTTCTACCTAGTTCTCTTTACTTTCTGTAACCAACTTTAAAAAAGATTGTAATGGCCACAGTGTCTTATCATTTTACTCAGTTGTCTTTCAGAGTTTGTACAAGGAAAAATGTAAAACCACAACTGGCTAGTAATAAGACAGACCAGTTATGTATGTATGTATTTCTTCTCTTCAATGCCCATCAAACAGTTTTTATCATCATATTGTTGCTTTGTATGAGGAGATGACTACAGACAAACTGGATACTTCTATTAGCTTTTCTTTTGGTATATATAGATGGGAAACAATTGGTAAAACATCAAAGGTTGCTTTTTCAATTATTTTTGAAGTTATTTTGAAATAATGCTAAGAACTGATGTGGGTCTTGGCACTGAGGCCTCAAATAGATAAAGCTACGCTACTTTCTGTGCCTTCTAACTTGGTTATGCAGCTACACAGATGGAGACATTTCTGTAAATTGCGCTATAAAAATACTCTAAGCTTTCTGTTGGATTCTTAGTGAAATGATTAATTTATGCTCTTTTGTAACTGTTGAGATAAAACTTCCAAAGAGTTGTAGGGGATTAATGTAATCAAGGGTAAACAGTGAATGTGGGTGAGCCACAGCTTACTCTTTCCAAAACCCTAGTCAAGGTCTGCTTTTGCCAGGATGCTTCAGGAAGACTTTAAAAGTTAGAGGTGTTTGGTAATAATTTAGGGCTGACATATGTACCTGAAATAAAACGTGGAATTCTAGAACCTAATAAACATCTTCATAAGAAATGTTGTACATCTTCAGGGAACTTCAGAAGTTGCCAGAGTTATGTTGCATTCCTGATGTAAAAGAAAGTACAGATCAAATGGAACTATTAAACTCTTAAGTACAAAAGCTAGTTCAAAGTGCAGTACAACTCTGTAAATTCAGTAGCTCTGAGAAGCTGAATTTTATACCTCTCCATTGAAGTGCTCCTTGGTTGTTGTTTCAGAGAAGATAATAGAGCGTAATTTGACCAGGGTGATGAATAAGAATTACTGTTAATTTTGGCTGGAGATAATGAACATTCACTCAGTTTGTCCTGGAAGAATTGAACTGTTGCTAGCAATTAATGGCAATACTTGAAGAAACATTTTTTTATACATTGTGTTTCTAATGGACTGATAATTTTTTTTTAATAGGTATATGTTGTGCCTGGGGGGAGGTGGGAAACTTTAAAAAATTTCTTTTTGGTGGAGAGGTTTCTGACAGCTGTGTTCAGGAATCTTGACTGGACCTTGGGACCTGTTGTCTCAGTAGTTCTCTCTTTGCCAGCGTTAATCCTCTAATCTGCAATCTATTCATTAGTGTCTGAGTTGGTCTCATGAATCATACGACTGAAATTCTGGTATCCAGTGATGTATACAGAATAATGTGCTAATGTACTGGGACTTTTAGAAGCCATGAGAAAGTCTTCCTATTACTTTTACAGCAGGTTGGGTTAGAGACAATAAAAAACTGCCAGTATGTAATTTTTACTGACAAGCATTTCAATTTTAATTAATAGTACTGGACTTTCAGAATAGAGAAAAGCATTTTTCTGATAGCCCATCTAACCAAGCTTCACCTTCATTCCTTCCTAGAGACTGTTTTTCTTGTCTTTTCTTTTTTTTGGAACACAGTTTGCATAGTAAGTTAGTAGCTGACTTCTGTGTAACCTTCTGTTACACCTCAGCGAAGGGAATTAACGGCATTTGGAACATTGACTTTAAATGGTTCCAGTGGCTTTTACTGGTAGCCATAGCTACTGAAGGGTAACCTGTATTCCCGTGAGCATTCTTTTCTTTCCTACCGCTTTATTGACTTGTCACTCTTGGGACAAATGACCAAAGCTTGTTCATAATGTCTGCATCCAAAGTTAGATTCTCAAGTGATATCCTTTCCCATCCGTGGCGAAGAGTACACGGAGTTTAAGGTACCAGCTTTACAGTTTTATTTAAATTTTCTCTGTACTTACAGTCCCTATTGTTATGTTGCATGGCACTATTGGCTTCTATCTGCTGACTTCAGGACATTTGAAAAAGGGAATTTTCGTGAAATCTGTAATGGTCCTTGAAATTTTCTGCTGTCATACTTTCTTACAAAAAGTGGGAGTCTCAGATAAAAGTAAATAAATGTAATTCCCAGATGCTTCAAGTGTAAGTGGACTGTACTTTCTTGCAGCTCTGACTCACTTGCAATCTCTTCTTTTCCCTTCCTTTCTCTATACTTGCTGCATGCTGCATGCCACTCAGAGTGAGGATGAAGAAACGGATTACGATATGAATGACTCAGATTAAGTGTAAATGTCATGGTGAGCACTAGCTGCCCTAGGATTTTACCCAGATGCTTTTCTGCCCCATTCAATTCCTACCCCCCACTAGTGTCCTTTGGCTAGTCCTGGTGGTGTGTGTGTTTGTGATTATAGTTGTGGCATGGTTTGCAAAGATAGAATTCCTAGTCTGGATATTGCTTCTTTGACAGAGTAATTAGTGTTGCTGTTATAAGCTGTGTTATGATTAGTTCCTTTAAAGCTTTTCTGGGAAGAAAAGTTCTTTGTGTAGATTCTAGGATCAGATTTGCTTTTCATTTTTATTTTCCATGCACCAGCTTTTCTGTCAAATGTTTTTTTTAGGTGTAGAGGCATCTGATACAAGCTTACAGTAAACGTTCTGAGTTAGATGTCTGATTAGTCAATAAATCAGCAAACTTAACTGAAGTGCAACATAGTCGAAAGATGGTCTTACCTGATAATTTTGATTTGAATCAAGACCTGGCAAATATAAGTAAAATATAAGTAAATAGTGTGATCTTGGTACTACAGTTATATTTATCACAGGAAACAAGTCTGTTGGGGACGGATAGGGTCCTTTCCACTCTAGTTTGACATCTCCCTGAAGATCAAGGTACTTTAAAAGTCACAAGTGAAAGAACACAAAAGTTGCATCAGAAATAACAACTTTTGCAACCTTTTCCTAATGTGTCTGCAAGAACTGCTCATGTTTATTCTGCTATCCAATTTCTAGAAGATAACTCACCACTGACTGTTCAGTGACAGGGTATGTGGGTAGTCACTTGAGCCTCTATAAACTGACGATACTGACCATTACGTGAGATTCAACTCCAGCTTCTCACCTGGACACCTGAACTTTTTAGCTGTAAAGCAGCTTTATACTTATCTCTGAAGTGTTGCTTCTGCATAGCTGAAGAAGAACCTACATTATTTTCTTAACTGATGCTAACAGAAACTACTGCTGAGGGTAGAATAAGGTCTTTTGGCAAGTCTTCAGGAATGGCCTCAAGGAATGGATCAAATCTAAAGCTTTATTGAAAAAAAACCAAAACCTGACACTTTGCTGGAATTCAATGAAAGATTCTTAAGCTGCCTGAGAGATGAACAGTCCTTGAAACACTGTTCTATCTGCTGCAGATTTATTTTGAGTGGGAGGAAAATATCACATTCTGCTTCCCTAAGAAGCAATCACGTGTAGGTTCCTAGTATATGAGAGTTCATTCAACATTGCTTAGAGTGTATCAGTCAACTTTGGATCTGGTGCGCTTGGAGAAAAAACAGAACAGAAACAAGAAAAGAAAGAAAATTCTGAGCACAGCAGATCTGCACCAGGGTCAGGACAGTCCCCAGTATCAGTGCAGACTGGGTGGTGAATGGGGTGAGAGCAGCACTGCAGAAAAGGTCTGGGGGGTACTGATTGGTGAAAAATGAGCCAGCAACGTACACTTGCAGCCCAGAAAGCCAGTTATCTGGGGCCAGCATGGCCAGCAGATCACAGGAGGTGATTCTCCCCCTCTATTCCACTCTTGTGAGACCCCTCCTGGGGCTCTGACTCCAGCTCTGGGGTTCCCAGTACAAGAAAGACCTGTTAGAACAGGTTCAGAGGAGGGTCACAGAAACAGACAAGGGGAGAGAGGGCCGGAACACCTCTGCTAGAAGAAAGAGAGAGAGTTGGAGTTATTTGGCCTGGAGAAAACTCCAGGGAGATGTTATTGAGGCCTGCCAACACTTAAAAAGGGCTTATAAGAAAGATGGAGAACATTTTTTTTTACTAGGGTCCACAGTGACAGGACAAGGGGCAACATTTTTAAACTGAGAGAGAGTAGATTTGGATTGGATACTATGAGGATGATGTGACACTGGAAGAGGTTTCCCAGAGCAGCTGTGGATGCCCCATCCCTGGAAGGGTTCAAGGTTGGGTTGGGTGGGGTTCGAGCATTGTTTCAAGCATTTTTTGTAGTGAAAGGTGTCCCTGTCCACAGCAGTGGGCTTGGACTAGATGATCTTTAAAGGTCCCTTCCAACCCAAACCGTTCAGTGATTCTGTGATCTGAAGCGTGTGGTCAGAGGACCATTAACAGTGGAGTCACCAGTTTAGCTAGTGGAGCATGTTCTCAAGTGGAAACATCTTCCCTGCTTGATTCTGCTCCAGACATTCTCCTCAGTCACAGCTATTACAGTTTGGGAGAATTTTTGCCATAACTGTTTTCAAATTTTATTGACCTCTGTTACTGTTGAGACATCTCGGTATGTTTGCCCAGTAAGTCACTAAAATCTTTAGGAATAATGTTATTAAAGGGTTTTGCAGGGGCAAAAAAAGGAGGAATTTTAAACCAGTCAGTCATTCTTTCAGTACATAGTAAGTACAATTTTGATAGAATTCCTGATGATTGGAATTCAGTTTCTTCTTCAGACAAAGTCGCTGCCCATGACTTCAAAACATCCTCTTTCACATAGTTTCTGAACAGAGGTGAGTGGAATACCTCTCCTGAGAGCTTTCTGATCAGAAATCATTTCCCCTTTAATAAAGGTAAGGGCTATAGAAGAAGTACCAAGCGATGTGTGTTGAAGTATTCCCTGATATGATCGAATTTTCTGCTTTACATTGGGTTTACTGGCTCAGTAAAGTGTGCAAAGTTCAGCATCTAGATCTGGCTTAGCTTTATCTTATTGTATGTGTTCCTGAAGTTACAGGAGGTAGTTCTATTAATCTTAGAAATACTTTTTATCTTCTAGGAGAGAATAAACTCAAATGTTTTATTTTAAATTGGAAAGATTCACAAAACTAATAGATCCACTATTATTTTTGAACTGCGCAGGTGCTTGTTTCAGCCATATTTTCATCTCTGTTGGAGGCTGTTTCACTTACTGACTACATTTGCTGGGTCGGACTGTTATTTGTTATGTGGACATCTCCTCCAGCACTTTTATTCTCAGCTGTGATCAATAGCAAATACTCGAGGAAAGAGTTGAAGTATGAAGCATTTATAAAATTAACTTCAGATATATTTCCCCCCCTTCCAGTAAGCCTCAGTTTAGGAATTTTGGCTTCAAGCCTGCATGCAGATCACTATGAAAGCTACAATGACACTGATACCATGAGTAGGTATCAATGACACTATCTTCTGTAAGTTGGTCTAATCCCTTTTGAATATATTATACTACCAGTTGCTGAGCAGTTTTCAGGGCCTGGCTTTTCCTCGCAGTATTCACTTGTATCTTTTCTGCAGTTTCATATGAAATGCTTTTTGCTTAGTACACACAGTAAATTATTGTCATGAAATAAGCAAAGTTCTGCATTAAAGACAGCTATGCCATTGTCCAGGGATTGTGCCTTTGCTTTCTTCTAGCTTTTGAAATCAAGAGCCCTTCCCAGCACTACAAAAACTGTCAAGTGGCAAAAGAAAATGAAGTATCATTAGAGATACTTTTACGTATAGGTTAACATTGTTAAGTATGTGTGCTCAGTACATTTGAAGCTTTGCTTAGTGTTTTATTTGGCTACTATCATGATTGGTTCATTTGCTTAAAGGCTTCCCTGCAGTACTACGCAGCCTGAGAGTTGACCTCATTATTGCTGATTGCCACTGGGTTTAGAGCAGCAACATGAGAAACGTTGTTCCTGGGATAGTCAGTCCTAAGACTTGGATCCTTTCCTTACTGGAGGAGCCAAAGAGAGTTGAAACAGAAAAAGAGAAAAACAGTCAAACTGAAGTAGAATAGATGTTCTTCATGTTGTAAGATGCTATAGACAAGGATTCCATTAGACTTTAGTCCCTATGTTTAATATATGTCTTTTAAAGTGAATATTAAACAAACCAACTGCTTTTAGAATGAAAAATCCTTTTACTCACTGTAATGGGAATCTCAGTTCCTTGGTAACAGTGGAAGAACCAAATTCCATAGACAGAATATTTGACAAACATATTCCTCCTCGTGATGGTGGAGCCTGCCTGCCCTCACAGCTGCCTGGCTTGGGTGTTTCAGAGGATAATGATGGACAAGGTAATGTGTGAAAAGTTCAGTGTGCTGTGTCCCGTGCCCACAGAAACAGTTGTCACATGGACAAGGATGCCTAAAAAACTTGAGATCTGACATAAGCAAATAATACTAGTCTAAAAATATTTTAAAACTGCTGTCAGAGTAGTACTTACTTTCATGTAGCTGGTGTCTGAACAGCATAGTAAAAGTCTGTGAAGAAAGGTAGTTGGTTGACTTTAGTTCATGCAAAAGACCAAGCCTGGGCATCTGTTTCAGATTTTACTTCAGTCTGTTGATTTAAATCTTGCCAGCTCGTACTCCTGGCCTTTGAATGCTTCCTGCATCGTCTCACCCAGTGTGCCATTTGTGCGAGTTGCTAGTTCCTGTTTTCAGTACTAATTTATGGGACACAATTTGTAGCTGAAACTTCAGAGATTTCAGGACATTTTACTGGAGCGGGAAAAATGAAGATTAAATTCAGTTTCTAATAAAGTATCCAAGTTCATGTACCACACAGGAGCTAAGTGTCTTCAGAACTAGGATGAGGTGAGATGGCTTACTTTTTACCTCTACCAACCCTTAAGCTTTGGTTATGTTAATCATACACAGTTCCTAGCAGTGATTTACATCTGTTTTCATTGTTTGATAGTAGGCACAGTATGTATCAACCTGCCTTTTTTCAGCTTTAAAGCACAGACTTCAGGAATGTCCTTGAACTGGCTCCCTGACACTTTATTAGTTATTTGAAATAGTCATTATGCTGCTCTTTGACCTTCATGCTTTAGGAATGACATTGAACAAATTTTCATTTATAGAATTTTTATTGGTCTGTTTCAGATTTTGCAAGAACGAGGTTCCAGGATGTGAAGACAGTATTGAACGGTGACAATTTTTTCTCTTTTATTCCAAGACGCAGTGAATTGTCACACTGAAGAGGCTCAGCTGCAAAAGAAAAAAATCTGATTTAG